CCCCGTTATCTTATGATCAGACAGTTAAGTTTTGGGTGGGTTTCTGGCTTGGGATTTCACCTTCTTGCCTTTCCTCTCTGTCTCTGATATGCACTTATTTCAAAAGTGGCTGTACTTCAGTTTTAGAGATAGTAGGAACTGCAGATGCTGGAGAATCTGAGATAACAAGGTGTACAGCTGGATGAACACAGCAGGACAAGCAGCATCAGAGGAGCAGGAAGGCTTCCTGCTCCTCTGATGCTGCTTGGCCTGCTCTGTTCATCCAGCTCTACACCTTGTTATCTCACATTTACTAACATCTTGTCTTTTTAAAAAAAAGTTACTTTTTTATACTTCCTGCCACAGCAAATTATTTTACAGTTACCACATCATCAAGGCACAGAACAAAGCCATTCGGCCCATTCACCGAGTCTGTTGCCCTGGATAAATTACTGATATTTCATTGCTTTGCAAAGTGGCTCTCCTGCAGTAACCAGCCTGACTGTGGAGGCGGAACCTGTTTTACAGCACTCGGGCGGAGCTGGAGGTAGAGCCTCGCCGGTTCAGTTTGTTTGTGGGACGCAGTGCAATGGCGGCAGCAAGAGCAAGAACAGGAGTGGGCTTGCTGAGGGTGAGTGTGCGTCTCTGGGAGTGGGAATCATTACATCAAGGCCGGAGATCGACAAGGGCAAACAACATTTGGTTGAACTATGCGGGGAACTTCCAGATGTTGATTAAAATAGAAGAGGGTCTGAATCTGGTTGCGGATATCGAGCCTCCTAAAGGCATTGTCCCAAAGACCCCGCTGTGAGCTACGGCTGTACTGTCAGCAGTCACCTCGGTAATTTCCATAAATATTCGATCATTCATTATCTATAAGTACAAGTTAGTTTGTGGCAAAATATTCGACCCCGGTGATGAGCTCAAATCTGTGTACCCAGAGGTTTTAAACTGGAGTGGTGTGGTGGGCTATAGTTTACTCAGGGAGTCAGACTCGCTGTGTGCCAAAATACACTTTACACGCACATTGTAGGCTGAGGCATTGCATAGAGATGATAGAGACTGCAATGGTCTTTGAAATGTCTGATTAGGAATTTCTCCTGCTGTTACGTCGGCCATTGGTATGTTATCAAAAAGTATAGCAGATTGATATTCAAACTGTTTGGCATTATGAATGCAGTCTCCTTAGCCAACAAATACTGGGTGGGATTTGAACCAGGACCACCTGTGTCTGAGGTGATGATGCTAAATCACAAGAATTTTCCAGTCACTGGATATTGATGGGCAGACACTTCAGCCAATTTGCCTCCTCAGCTCAGAGCACTGACTGGATACAACCTGGGATTTTTGATCAGTGCAGTTCTGTATGGTTTATCATTGGAATAATCAAATTCATACAGATTATTGGTAGCTAAAGATTTGGGGATTTCACAGTAAAAATGAAATTTGAGTAGTTTGCCAGTGTCACATGGACTGAATCCTGTAATTTTATTTTTTAACATAAATATATTGTGCGTTACCGCTTTACATTTCCCACTGTGATAATAGATAGTATGGTCAATTCATGCTCAGATGTGCACAGTGTGACACTGGAATATGTTGAAAAATTTTTCAATAATATTTATGGTGCCGATCTATTAATAAAATTTTTCACTGCCCTAATTTCCTCCCAGTGTTAAATGGAACAGGAAAGAATATTCAGTAATATTGGAAACAATGGAGAACGGCACCAAAGATCAGAGGATTTGTCATGTTGCTCCACTATTGTGTAATAAAAGGTCTTTAATAAATGTATTAGTCTATTTTAGCTTGTGCACTGACAAAATATTGAACTTTTCTCAAACAAAACTTGCTAACAGAATTTTTTGTTTTAGGTGAGATCAGACAATACAGTTTAAATGTGTCAATATTTCTACAACATAGTGACACAGGATGTACTGAAAAACAGTTTATGGCTTCACAGAAATAGTTGGTCCATAAGAGCTGGATAGTGCCTTACATTTATTTAGTTATGTGTCAACAAGAAGAAAAGAAGGCATTCTCAGCCTTTGCTTCATAGCAAGGACAAGTTCAGAACTAGGAACCTGGTGGAGGCTCCTTCCAGGTAACAAAGGTTTCTGAGACCTCAGCATGAATACATAGGGTAGGTTGTGGTGCAGTGATAATGTTGCTGGACTAGCAATATAACACCAGGCTAATGTTCTGAGTATGAATCCTGCCATGGCAGGTGGTAAAATTTGAACTCAATAAAAATTTAGAAGGGGTGAAAGCTAGTCTAATGGCAACCACTGTCATTTGTTATGAAAACCGATCTGGTTCACTAATGTCCTTTTGGGAAGGAAATCTGCCATCCTTACTTTGTCTAGCCCACATATGACTCCAGACCCACAGCAATGTGTTTGACTGTCAGCTGCCCTGTGGACATATTGGAGTGAGCACTGAATGCTGGCCTAGCCACTGCTGCTTTATCCTGTGAATGAATGAAAAATAAATAATTCAAATACATTGAGCAACCTGCAGCACCACAATCACATTACATCTCAAAGGACAAGTGGTACAACCTGGCTTTGATCACAAAGCGAATGGTACAGCCTGGTCCTGATCCATGGTTGTGCCAGGTAATCTGAACCACTAAACACACATGTACCTTGCAGTTTATCTGAACTAGAAACTTTTCTGTTTTCCATTGAAATAGAGATAAATGTTTGGAGTGAAGGGAGGATAGTGTTTTAAACTAAATATGCAGGGGAGGGGTTGGAAATTATGGAAAACTTAAAGGGGGAGGGCTCAGCAGAAGTTATTAAAGTTTCCAGAACAAGTAATTATCTAAGGGAAGGCAATGGCTTAGTGGAATTGTTGCTGGACTGTTAATCTAGAGACCCAGATAACATTCTGGGGACCTGGGTTTGAATCCTGCCATGGCAGCTGGTGGAATTTGAATTCAATAAATATCTGGAATTAATTGTTGGGAAAAACCTATCTGGTTCACTAATGTCCCTTAGGGATGGAAACTGCCACCCTTACCTGGTCTGGCCTACATGTGACTCCTGACCCACAGCAATGTGGTTGACTCATAGCGCCCTCATCCTGTGAAACAATAAAGGGGAAAAATAAATTGTACAGAGTATGGAAAGGGCCAAAAATCTAACTTCAGACACAGCAATGGGAATGACTGTGAGGAGGAGGCAGTCACTGCAGGACTGAGGATGTTGTACTTAAATGCATGCAGTACATGAGTATGAAAAAAGTAAATGAGTTTGTAACACAAATTGAAATTGGCACATAGAATCTTGTGGATATCCACAGCAATGTGGCTACAAGGGGACCAGGGCTGGGAGCTATATATCCAAGGATGTAGGGTAGAAAATAAATCAGGAGACAGAAAAGGCATGTAAGAAAGGCACTATTACAATCATGGGGGACTTCAATATGCAGATGGACTGGGAAAATTAGGTTGTTTGTAGATCCGAAGAAACGGAATTTGTGGTATGTCTAAGAGCTGTTACTTTTTGGAGCAACTTGTGGTAGAGCCCACTAGGGAACAGGCAATTCAGCCAGGTGATGTCTAATGAGGTGGACTTGATTAGGGAGCTTAAGGTGATAGAATCTCTAGGAGGTAGTGACCATAATATGATGGAATTCACCCTGTCATTTCAAGAGGGAGAAGCTTGAATCTGATGTAATAGTATTACAATTGAATAAAGATAACTGTAAACACATGAGGGAGGAGCTAGCCAGAGCTGATTAGAAGGGAAGCCTAGCAGGGAAGACAGTGGAGCAGCAATGGCGGGTGTTTCTGGGGGTAATTCGGGAGGCACAGCAGAAATTCATCCCAAGGAAGAAGAAACATACCAAGGGGAGGATGAGGCAACCATGGCTGACAAGGGAGCCAATGGACATGATCTATTTACATTTCCAGAAGGCCTTTGACAAGGTGCTACAAAGGAGGCTGCAAAATAAAATAAGAGCCCGTGGTGTTGGGGTCAAGGGACTGGCATGGATAGAAGATTGCCTGACAGGCAGAAAGTGGGGATAAAGGGATCTTTTTCAGGATGGCTGCCGATGACTAGTGGAATTCTGCAGGGGTTAGTGTTGGGACCACAGCTATTCATGTTAACATTAACGATCTGAACTAACAAACTGAGGGCATTGTTGCTAAGTTTGCAGATGACACAAAGATAGCTGGAGGAACAGGTAGTGTTGAGGGAGCAGGGAGGCTGCAAAAGTACTTGGACATGCCAGAAGAGTGGACAAAGAAGTGGAAGATGGGATACAGTGTGGGAAAGTGTGAGGTTATGCACTGTGGTAGAAAGAGTAAAGGTGTGGACTGTTTTCTGAATGGAGAAAGGCTTCAGAAATCTGAAGCACAAAGGGACTTAAGAGTCCCGGTTCAGAATTCTCTTAAGGTTAACATGCAGATTCACCTGGCAGTTAGGAAAGCAAATGCGACGTTTGCATGGAGTTAAAGAAGGTTAGAATACAAGAGCATGGGTGTACTTTTGAGACTACATAAGGCTCTGGTCAGACTGTATTTGAAATATTGTGAGCAGTTTTGGGCCCTGTATCTAAGGAAGGATGTGCTGGTGTTGGAGGAGGTTTACAAGAATGATCCCGGGGATGAAGGGCTTGTCATATGAGGAGCAGTTGAGGACTCTGAGTCTGTACTGGATGTAGTTGAGAAGGATGGGGGGATGGGAATCTTGGCTGAAACTTACAGAATACTGAAAAGCCTGGATAAAGTGGATGTGAAGAAGATGTTTCCACTAGTAGGAGAAACTAGGACTCAAAGGTACGCTCTCAGCGTGAAGGGACGACTGTTTCTGGAACTGAGATGAGGAGGCATTTCTTCAAACAGAGGCTAGTTAATCTGTGTAATTCATTGCTGCGGAGGGCTATGGAGGCCAAGTCATTGAGTGCACTTAAGACAGATAGATAGGTTCAGTAGAGGATGAAGGGTTACAAGGAGAAGGCAGGAGAATGGGATTGAGAACACGTCAGCCATGATCCAATGGTGGCACAGACTCGATGGGCTGAAGAGACCAAAATTTTTGGATTACTGCACCAAGGGCCGGCACAGATACAGAATCAATGTTCTGCTATCCTGATGTACTTTGTAAGGTACAATCTGCCTGAATAGTGTGCACTACAACACTTTTCACTGTATCACAGTACATGTGATGACAGTAAATCAAACAAACAAAATGCTACCCTTCTGTCCTTTTTACTTCTAGGATTGTCTGGAATCACAAACACAAAGCTTTTGCTAAGTTCATTTAATACTTAATTTGCATTTTTTAGACCATACTACATAAAAGCATAATTGGTGAAACTTGTAAGCTTTTTAATTTGGTCCATGGTATTAAAGAAAGGTCTTACTGTTTCTACTCAAATAGTACTTACACTGTTGTTCAAAGTTGTGTGGTAATCTACAGTTAGCCATTGTCAGTCCATAGCTGGTATCACTATTGCTACTGAATCAGAAAGTTGTGTCAAAAACAAAATCAAAAATTGCTGGAAAAGCTCAGCAGGTCTCACAGCATCTGTGGAAAGAAGTCAGAGTTAATATTTTGAATCAAGTGATCGTTCTTCAGAACTCTGAATAGGCACCCAGCATCTGTAGTTCTTTTGGTTTTATTTAGAAAGTTGTGTGTTTAATACCCTAGTCCAGAGATTTGAGCACTAACTTGTAAGTTAAAGGAGCATTGTGTTGTCAGTGCACCGCATTCTGGATGAAAGGTTAAACCAAGATGCTGTTTCAGTTGAATATTAAAGATCTTACTGATCTTGCAGTTAAAAAAAATACACATTTTGCCAAAGCTTTTTGTCTTGCACCCATCATGA